GAACCTGCTTCATAAATAACCAATCCTGAGAAGAAGCCATTATTTATGGGTTTGGCAGCCCATTATACTGTAAGCTCTTTCAGGGCAACCTCTCCAGTTGCCTATGAAGGTTGTGCTGAGGATGTGGCAAGTAACCAGGTCTCCGGGGCACTCAAGGATGACTAAGAGGAACTGTTACTACATACATTTAAAAATACCAAGGCCTGGTCATCTGACCCACTTTTACTTGAGCACATTGTACAAAGTGAGTCCCTAGAGAAAGATTAACAAATCCTGTGGCCAGGATGAAGTTTTCTCCTGAGGCACAGCTGGTTTCTGAGACCAAGTGGGTTGACTACTTGTGATGCCACTGAATGAACTTTTTTTGGACAGTAAAAAGCAATGAGGTAAGGCATGGAAGTCATACATTAAAGCTCCTTTCAGTGATGGTGTCCATTATGTAGACATTGTAGGGCACGTAGACCAGAATATACTCCTTGTCCTACCATTGTATGCTGGACCAGTGTGGTTTCAGACTCTGACTTGCATCTGTATCCTCTGGAGGACCTCAGATTGTCTGATTCAGGCCTTCTGGACTGGGCCTGAGAAACTGTATTTCTAGCAAATTCCACAATGGGGCTCTTGCTGTAGGTTCGGAATCACCATTTGAGAATTATTATAGCAACATATGCTTAGATAACATTTCCTACTTTTACTCTTTTAAACTTAACGCATCAAGGAACTTTAGAATTTGGTAATCAAAGGAGGATTCCAAAGTGCAAGTGAATGGTATATGCAAAACCAATAGTATTAAAAACAATCAATCAAACAAAAAACCACTGGGATTTCACTTCTAGAGAGGTCAGATTCTTGATAACCTCAGCTATTTGCAACATACTCAGGAGAAAGTTATGAAGATCCTTATGTTACACTAAGGTTACGAAAAAAACTATATCCTACAGAGGGCAAACTGAGGAGCCCATTTAAAAGCCGGTCTAAAATAATCCAGTGTGCAGGGAACAGCTAAAATGTATTAATTGAAAGATAATGGCAAAAAATTTGAAGGCACAAACATCAGTGTAAATTACCTGCAGGGCAAATTGTCTGATGTGACTTGTTAACATCTCTGTGGGATCACTACTACATTATAAGGAAAAACACAGCTGGTTTTTAAAGTATTCTTACAAAACTCTCTCCCACTAGGATCCCAGTTTCAAATGAAGAGAAGTGGTCAATAAGAAACTCTCCCTGAATCTGCGAGTGTAAAGAGACTTAAAATTTAGTTTGGCACTCATGATGAGTGCGAGCTGGAAAAACTGTGTGGGTTGGTGGGTGCCCCGAGCTTCCGCCTCTTTCACGGGGGTGGGGGGGTGGGGGTGAGGTAGAAAAGAAAAGCCGATGTGGCTCAGCCCTGTCTGAGATCCTAGGAAGAGAAAGCTGCAAAAATAGAAAGAAAAGGTTACTTTGATAAATCAAAGGAAGCGCAGTAGATTCTAGCAGGGAGGGACACCTTCCCTAACCCAGCAAGGTCAGACACTCCCTAGAAGGACTTTTTTAAAGGCTATTGTTGAAAAGGACCCAAGATAAAGGAAGCAGGAGAGCAACACCAGCAAAGAGGAAGTAGCAGTGTGTGAAGTTCCTGAACAATCAAGGAGAGGCCTCCTGGGACCTGGAGCCTGGCATCCTGGGGTTCAGCAGCCAGCCACCCCCAGGGTCAGGACTTGTGCTGCTTGACGTCTCTGTGATCCCCTCAGCTCATCCCTAACACCTGTACTGACTTCCCAGTTCTCTGGCTTGCTTTGGGTTGGGTCAATGGCAGAGCATACATATTGGAAGGAGGCAGACCTAAGCAGGGTACTTACCCTGCACGTGCTCTGTGTGGAAGTTCCTTTAAGGCTAGGGATTGGGGAGACAACCAGCCTTCTAGGGTTCTGGCCCCTTACTGAACTATCATTGCTTCTATCTTTGCATTTAGGTTTGGGGATGGCAAAGACTTCCTGATATTGCTGTCTTTCGTGTTTTCTAGGGTTTTTTTTTTTTTTTTTTTTTTTTGTCTTTTTCGTTTTTATCGGTACCGGCGATCGAACTCACGAGTGCCTGCTTGCAAGGCAGGTGCTTATGCCGCTGAGCTAAATCCCCAGCCCCTATGTTTTCTAGTTTTTTGTTTTGCTTTTTGATCTTGTTTACATCTCTGATTTTAAAACGCCCTCTTTCAACCCTTGTCAAATTCTTTGTGTCTGCTAGCTGATTACTTCCTGGTTGTACTGAAACAGTAATCAAGGTAAGTTTCCCTGATTAAGCAAGAGCTTTCATGAGCTCCCAATGGATTTTAAACTCAGGAACAAATGGAATCATTACATTTTTCAGGAACCATGCAGCAGGAGATAAGGGAGATAAAGGAATTGAGAAAATAGGTCTGAGCTCAGGAGTATCAATAAGAAAATGATTCTAGAACAATCATTTAAAGTGTATACTCAGGGGTTAAACAGGGGAATGTATTCTGAAGAAATAACCATTGTGGAATTGAGTAGCATTAGAATGTAGAAATAATCTTAATAAGGTTTTCTAGAAGTCATGAAAACTTAAAGCTAGACCTTGAAAGAGTTCTGCTTCTAGTTTCTTGAAGTAGCATATTTATTTTTTGAGATCTGCCTTTTTACTCTAGGCATTAAGGGAGGGCATCCCATATTACCCTCTGAATACTGCTTTAGCTACCCACACACAGGTTTTGGTGTTCCATTGCTTTATTTCATCTTAAAGCATTTTTAAATTTCATTGTGATGTCTTCTTTGATCAGTTAGCTATTTGAGAACATACAGGTTAATTTTCCAGCACTGAGGCAAGAGGATTGCCATAAGTCCAAGGTTGGACTGAGCTACATAATGAGACCCTCTCTCAAAAACAAAATGAAAACAAAATAGACAAATAAAATGGCAGACAAGTTAATTTCTCTACTCTTTACCTTGATTTCTATTTTTTTTTTTTTTGTCTTTTTCATTTTTATCGGTATCGGGGATCGAACTCACGACTGCCTGCTTGCAAGGCAGGTGCTTATGCCTCTGAGCTAAACCCCCAGCCCCACCTTGATTTCTATTAATCAAGTAATAGTGTATTACTTTCTTAAGGGCCTTGTGAACATTAAAAGATAATCTTTTTTGATTAAATGCGAAATGCATGAAGATTGCTTAGCATATTTGGTTCATAATGCTCATTTAACGAATATGAGTTGTTTTAAGACACAAACTGCTCTTATCATCATCATTACCAAAGATTTAACAGCCTCCTTTCTTCCCTAAAGTAAAAAGAAGTAAGAGACTCATTTTTCAGATGGTTCTTAGGGGTTTCTTGTTATTTGTTTGTTTAGAGATAGAGCCTCACTATGTCATCCAAGCTTGCTTCAAATTTCAAGTGATCCTGCTGCTTCAGCCTGTTGGGTCCCTGTGACCACGGGCATGTGCCAGGAATCTCAGAGCTGCTTTAAATTCAAAACTCTGGCCTCAAATTGTTTCAGTGAAAGGAACAAAATATCTTATTTCTGGGAGGCCCAGAGGTTTTAAAATTTTAATTCTTATTTTTGTGATGCTGGGGGTTGAACCTGAAGCTAGATCGTCATAGACAAGTGCTCTCCTGCTGAGACTCAGCCAGACCTTCCTTTGTTTTTCTAACTGGTCTCCTTTTCAGAGACCCTAAAACGATTGACTACTCAGTTAAGAGTATTCCGGAGTGGAGGAAGCATCTAGGGGGCCTAAGATCTGCCTAGATGACCTTACACTTTCTCTCGACCTTGAGTTCACTGAGGTAGACAATGGAACCTCTGAAAGTGAATATTAGCATAGAATCATCTCATGAATCTGATCTTACTAATGAAAAGAGAAGGCATGAATCAATTTATTTCTTGGAACCATACTCAGGTTTTAGCCTTCCGCATTTGGTTTACTAAATCACTTCTGACAATGTTATGGTAATGTAGTCATAGGAAAGAGTTAATTCATTTTCACCCAAAAGCAATTTAGTACCTCTCAAGTGTAGAATAAGAACTACAATGTGCTGCTAAACTGATATCCATGCCTCAGTGGAAACAGGTCCCTGGAACTTCCAGTTTTGTTTCCTCCCCCAAACCTTGACAACGTCCTCTGCTGCTAAAAACCTCCGTCAAAATGTGGGAAGTGTGGACAGATCCTCAGTAAAATAATTCTGATTACAGAGTTGGGACTTCGTAATTGGAGCTAGAATTATGAATTGCTGTTTTATTTTCACCATAAAGGTTTCCTAAGTTTATATAATTTTCAGGTATAAAACTTCACAAGCTCTCTCAAAGGACTTAACTGTATAATCAGTCTCTAAGATCATTATGAAATGGAAATCGGTGTAAAATTAGACTATACCACCCATTACTATCAGGTCTCCTGAACTTGGCTTTGGGTTAAAGCTTATACATCCTCAGAAAACCACTTTGTAAAATCTAAGGCCTGAAAACACAGAGGTCATTTTGTTCTGTTTCCCAAATACCTTCAGTGGTATCAGGCATAGAGTGGCTATTCAAAGGGTATTTATTGAGTGAAGTCCCTCCTTTAACGCAAAGCATTTATATATGGCTTAAAGTATTTTAAAATATCAGCAAAATTTTTGTGTGCTTTTATTTATGAATTATTTAATGATATCTCACCCTCCCTTCCCCACAAATAACCTTAAAACCTTATCTGGTAATATACTTACTGGGAAGTGTACTGGGAAACTGTCACAGAAAAAATTATGGCAAAATTAGTTGAAAGTCAACAATTCAATATATTTTCATTTATTGACTACTGTTTCCCTTAAAACTTTGAAAGTATAGGCAGATACCAATTTTTACCAAAGTGGTGGTATTTTGTTAACATTGATGCTTCAGTTGGGATCCCAGTAAAATATGAATGATGTTTTAATATATGTATCCCAAATATATACATATATGAATCAAAGTATTAATTGCTTCTATGAGATTTCATCTTTAACTGGAAATTCTATATTTTTTCTCTTCTAAGTCTGACAACCCTAGCTATAAAGGAAGCATTCTGGTTCTTATTCTCATCTTAAAATGTTGCTCCAATCACCCTGGGCTGCTTAATGCATAGCCTAACTCTCTGGGAGCGCCATGACTTCAGTGGAAGGAAGCTGTCTTATCATCGTCTTCCCGCAGGAAGATAAACAAATCAAGGAGGAAAATGTGACTCTCCACAGCACCCCTGCTATGCAGGCCCCAGGGTCACCGGCTCCCCAGGGCAAGGCACACCGTGGCCCAGTTTTCCTCTCTGTGCGGAAGGAAGAGCATTTCACAGTGCAGATGCTCATTAGGATACCTTTCCAGAAGTTTCTTCCCACTTCTGGAGGATGAGTCTGTCGTGTGGAAATACCAGCAATGTAAAGAATGCAGCAACAAAGAGATCGTCTGCCCGGAAGACCTTGCTCCCCGCAGGCTGGCCCCACGAGGGAGACAAATCGTCCACAGCTGCAGACCTCGCTCTCTGGCCTTTGCCTTCACAGGCTCAAAAACTGCACCTTCTGTATTTGCTGCATTCCCCAAGCACTCCAAGCATGGCAAGCTACAGCGCAGAGGAGCGCATTCTTCACGCTTGGTATCCTCCTGCTATCTCCCCATTCAACGCTCTGTGTTAGGAAGACTTGCCTCTCCTTCTCCCTGTCCTCACTTCCTAGCTGACACTGGGCGGGGACTACATATATGTGACGCTGAATGGATAGAATGGGAGAGTGACCACAGTTCACAGCATGCTGCCTTTAGAGCCAGACAACATTTTAAAACAATTCTGGTTAGCTAAGTTACTCAACCCTACTGAGCCTTAGTTTTTTCATCCGCAAAATGGACTTATGAATACTGTGTAGTCCACAGTTATGTATGACAGAGGTGTAAAAAGTGTCCAAGGGCTTCACAGCGCTAAGTAAATGTTACTATTTTTTTTTTTTTTTTTGTATGTGTGTGTCTTTTTCGTTTTTATCGGTACCAGGGATCGAACTCACGATTGCCTGCTTGCAAGGCAGGCGCTTATGCCGCTGAGCTAAATCCCCAGCCCCAAATGTTACTATTTTTAACATAAATAAAAAAAATATATATATATATATTTAAAACTTGTACAACCATCCCACAGAAATTGGCTTTTTAGCCAAGTAGCTCCCATTTATAATAACAAGGATTTCCAACAGATTTTAATGGTAACTAACAAATGACTTAATAAATGTCAATAATAAAATTAGTGGTGTTAGATTAATATAGAACTTCCCATTTAATTTCTTGGAAAGCATTGTTTTCTAAGCCCCTGGTTTCCCAACACTTACAGGGAGGTAGAAACATCAAGCAGCAATTTGTCTCCAGAGGGCTCATGAGCACAGAGGCAGCACGGGGACGAAGTTAGTGATGGCACTCAGGGGACAGGTGTAGCCAGTACAGCGGTGGTCGCCACTCCCCGGGTGAAGTGCCAGCCTCTGCCACCCTGAGCCCTGGGCAGAGCTGGGCTCTTCCTCAGACCCCTGCCACGGCTCAGTTGGGGACAGTGTTTCTCTTGGTCTCTGGTTCTTTGCTCAGGGACTATAGCACAGGACACTAAGAAAATGCCTCTCCGTCCAGCGGGATTACGACCCCAATATGAGACAGGAGTGAGAGGGGGTCCCGTTCCGGTTAGAATTATTTCTTGTCTCAGTTTCCTCCTTTTCTCTTTTTCTAAGGAGAAAAAGCTAAAAACAAAAATTAGTATGTGGATTCTGCTCACCCCAAGAATAATGTGTCTATTCTGTTCCACAAAATGCCTTGATTGTTGATTTATTTCTCCTCCTCTGAAGAAGAGTATCAGAATTTGGGGGACAAAGCAAAAATTGGGGATGGAGGAGGGGAGAAAGAAAGAGAGAGCGAGGACACGTGTGTGTGAAAACAGAGGTCCTTTCTCTAAGTGTTCAAAGTGCCTCTGTAATGAGCCTGTCCACCCAGCTGAGGCAGCAAAACTCAAGTTATTTTTCCCCAAACCACCTTTAAAGTGGCAGCCAGGAATGCTCTACTCATTTGCTTCATTATGCCGGGCTCTTGGTGTGCTCATCTGTAAAATGAAGACATTGAGTTAGGCAACGTCTCAGATCTTTCCATCTAAAATGTTCTTATATATTTAATTGAATCAGAGATAGTGGACTACAAGCAAAGGTAATGTGTGTGCGTGAGCACATGTGTGTGCATGTGTAAGACAGAAAGAGAAAGATTAGTACGACATGAAGCTTTTCTTTGCCTACTTCTGAAGTTGGAACCGGATTTTATGCACTTGAACAAAATGGCTGTGCCCAGATTTTTAATCGACATTCTTTGAAAAACGGTAAATGTCCATATGTGGCACAGAGACTCAAGACTGGAAAACCCTACTGAGCAGTTGAATCACTTTACCAAGTAAATTGGTGTTTTTTCCATTGAGCAAGATAAATGGGCAACGCAAAATTTTTTTTTGGCAATGCAAAATTTTAGAACAATTATTTTCCTCCATCTTCTTCTCCCATTACACATAATAGCTTGGGATTTGACCACACAGGCAGAGGTCCACAGCCAAACCATGCCATGTATCCCAACCCAAATATCATTTATTGATTGACTGATTGATTGATTGAGATTGGGTCTTGCTATGCAGTTCAGCCTGGTGTTGAACTCAGGGCGGTCCTCCTGTCTCAGTTTCCTGAACACTGGGATTATAGGCATGTGCCACCATTGCTGTCTTCAAGTATTATTTAAAACATGGGGCATTAGCAGTAGACCTTTCTGTGTTAACAGTAATAGTAAAAATACAAGCAACTGTCACATATCCAGTACTTGATTACATTCTAAGCAGAATACTAAGCAAATAGTTTACCAGTTGCTACCTAATTTTTCTAGATGTTGGTGAGCAAGAATGTATTCCCATCATTCAGGTTTGGACTTCACTCTGGGCAGAATGGACTCATCACCCACCTCTACAGACAAGTGCAGTGATTTGTTCATGGTCTTAAAGCTAGGAAGGAGAGATTCAAGATTTGTTTGGTTGATCTTGCAGTCTGTGTTCCCAAACATGTTTGGATTTTGCCCCTGGCGTCTGTTTTAAACCATTTTTTGTCTGTGCCACTGGTCATGGTCTACTGACCCTCTGACAGTTTCTTGGCTTTATGGTCTCATTTATATTTTTATCTGCTTTCTGTCATGGCCAACAACACATCTGCAAAGCCATTTTTTTTTTTTTTTTGGTACCAGGGATTGAACTCACGACCTACAGCTTGCCAGGCACTCTGACCTAAATCCCTGGCCCCCTGCAAAGCCATTTGTGACCACAGGATGGCATTTCTTTGTAAAATGTAAGGGCACTTACAGGTAAGGGACAAGTATGTGACGTGTCCATCTTTGTGTGGTGGGCCAGCCCCAGAGCAGCAGACATAGACACAGCTTGCTTTTTTAGAGATTGGTGTCACCTTTTGCTTTTCCAGAAATGTTCCAAAGACTCAACTGCAATTCAAAAACATGTCCATGAAATAATTTAGCCATCTAAATTAGGCCACGACTATTTCTCAGGTTTCCTTGCTCACTGATGAATGTTAATGCCTACAGCGTGTATAAGAATAACACATTTCCTAAGTCCAAAAGAGACTAGACCTTCGCTTCTCTTCCTCCGAGGCCAGCTGACATGGGTGTTCTAAGGGAAGGACTGTGTCACAGCATCCCTAGCAGAGAACTGGGGCCACAGTGTTGGACGACTTGTGGGAAGGCGTAACTGATGGCTTCCTCTGGGATTCTAATTCTCTGTATCTTCTTAGGCAAGATCTAGGATGCTGGTGTGCATATCTTAGAAAATGTAAATCCTGGCATCAGTAGAGTAGAGGTGATTTCTCCAATTCCTTGTCCTCTCCAGGAGAGATTGGGTCTCCTGGTCCAGGAAAAGGCCAAGTGGAAGGCTTTCATGAACAGTGTGGCCAGCATCAGGGCTAAGAAAGTGGATATTAATCTGCTGCTTTCTGGGAAACTCTTGGGATGTGATCATTCCTCTTCCATAAGGGAAGAAGGAGAAACAGCTCAAGGGCACCTCATCCATCCAGGCATTTTTGCAACAGAACTGGAAACCTATTGAGGCTGTTTAACTGGCTGCTGATTGCGCACTGTGAGCAACGAGCCAAGCAGAAAGAAGGAAAGGCCAGTGTCTCAGCATTAGTCCAGATGTTCCCGGAACACCAGAAGGGGCACTCCCAGCACCACTGCCTCCCATGGGGCTTAGCTCATCTGGCATTCACGGGTTGCCCTCTGGCCACTTGACAGTAAACTCTATCCAAGTTGAATGAGCTTCACTAGATTACTGTAGATCATGGCAGAGCTGATCCACTTCTGGGGCCACTGTTGATTCAAATAAGGCCATTTAACGCTTGGCATAGGTCTGTGATCAATGGCATCTGTATATCATTTGCCTTTGATGCTTATTTACTGGAGAGAGCAGTGCAGCTGCCAAGGCTCAGTTCTGGCTCTGGCTGCATCCTGAGCGGCTGAGTTCCCGTGAGACTCAGTGTCTGAGCAATGTGCCCTTCAAAGCCCTTCCAGGGGCAAAGCCTTCCAAAGGCGGTTATTTTGAGCTGTAAAGTCCTACAGGCCCATGCATTTCTCTACACACTTGGAAGTGAGTGCTGCTACTGTCTGTATTAATGTTTATATCCCAAGGAAATCTCATTTCTGCAGTAGGCTCTACGAGCCCATATCCAGAGATGAAGCATGGTAGAAGGGGCCCCGGGCACTGTATCACTCTTTGTCTCTGGTGGTAGGCAGGCAAGCCCAAAGCAGAGGGAAAGCAGGGCTTTAAAACCTTGAAACAAAAAATCAAATAGCCACTCAAATTGCACAGCTTAATTATATAGCTCCCCGAGGCAGGAAGTCAGACTGAGCCACCTTCCAGCTGCCCAAGTCTGTGAAGAGAAGACAGCCTGGTCCACCTTTTCCAGTACCACTGGGGAACACTTCGTTAATTCCGTTTCATGAAGTTAGCTTCCTCTTGTCCCATCCCAGTGGTTTTTCTTTGTCTTCTTTTGGCTGATTTTGTTAACAACACTAAGGATGCCAGCCTCTGTTTTTCAAGAGTAAGTTAACTGAATTCTTTTAAATATTCACAGTAGAACTCTTTTTTTTTTTTCTTTTATCGGTACCGGGGATCGAACTCATGACCGCCTGCTTGCAAGGCAGGTGCTTATGCTGCTGAGCTAAATCCCCAGCCCCCATAGTAGAACTCTTAATGCTAGGTGTTTTTTCTTTCTTTTTTCCCCAACCCTGAGCTTTTCAGTTCTTTGATACTGGTCCCACAAGTCCCTCATAAAATTCCAACAACGCAAAGGACATTTATGAGTACCTTGTGCCTCAAGCTGTACTTTTCTAATTCTCATGCTTTTTTTTTTTTGCGTTCATTTCATTTAAAAATTTCTGCCACTCCATAAGCACCTGCCTTGCAGGCAGGCAGTCGTGAGTTTGATCCCTGGTACTGGTGGAAAAAAAAAAGTTCTAACTTTTGCTTGGGGCTGGGGATTTAGTTCAGTGGCATAAGCACCTGCCTTGCAAGGAGGCGGTTGTGAGTTCGATCCCTGGTACCGAAAAAGACAAAAAGAAAAAAAAAATTCTGCCACTCAAAGAATCAGTTATGTCTTGTCTCTCTCCATCTCTCATCATATTTTCTCTTAGCATTCTCTCTCTCTCTCTTTCTCTCTCTCTGTACTGAAGGTTGAACCCAGGGTATTCATACTGAGCTACAACCCCAGCTCTTTTAAAACTGTTTTTACTTTGAGACAGCTTCTTGCTAAGGTACTAAGTTGACCGTGCTGGGCTGATACTTGTGATCCTCTTGCCTTAGCCTCTATGTAACCCCACATACAGCTCTCTTGGCATTCTTGAAGAAAGCTTATCCCTCTTACCAGGATGGGTGAATTGTTCTACAATCTAGAGGCA